CTCACATTTGGGGTGGGTCAAAATCTAGTTAACTTCAACAGTGAAGCAATTTGCTTCCAACCAGAGAATGATACATGTAATAAAAAAACACAAACATACATGAAGATGAACAATATAACATAAGAATCTATATTTAGAATAACCCAAGAAATCCATTTTCACCGCGCAAAGAAAGCAGATTCGAAGGTGGCTGGACCGAGGACGAATTGTTGTTATCTTCAAACCTCATCGCTCTAGAGGAATCCTCATGATTCCCCATGTGACAAGTCACCATTCCCCATTCACCTACTGCTTTGCAAGCGCCAACCTCGACCCCTGTTGGCTCGCACGCTTGCTGGTATTGTATTCCCTCGCTCTCGCTTTCCCTTGGAAGAAGAGCCAACGAGTAGTCATAGCCAATTGAAATAGGCTTGTGATGAGAAGAAGAATTCAATATAGCTTGAGACTGAAACATTGGTGGTTGGTATTGGTTCAGACCGATCTCTGCTGGCTTGTTAAGCTCAAAAGTTGTGATCCCATGGTTATACGGGCTTTTGAAACTACGAGCTTCAAGCCTATTATTGTTGACGTTTGAGCCAACACCGTTCTCTACTTTGAATAGATTTTTCTTCTTGAACACTCTACAAACAACCCATCCATCTTCCTGCATATACAATATTGGCTCATTAAAAAAATGGACCGCTTTTCACTACGTTCTAATAAAATAAGAGATTACATACACTAGGGTCATCGTCATTATCTTCAAGACGATATTCGTGCATGATCCAATCTGTCTTTTGGCCATGAGGAGCTCTTCCTTTGTAGAAGACAAGAGTCTTCCTCATGCCTATCTTCTTGTAACAGTTTCTTATGATCTTGTCACGTCCCGTTGCTTTCCAAAACCCTGAGTTAGTCGCACGATTCGTTCTTGACCCTGTCGGATATTTCCTATCCTTGTGGCTGAAGAAATACCACTCGTTTTGCGGTGTTGATCCTATTCTGCATCTATCTGGCAAAATAAAAAGAAAATAATTTCGTATATTTATAGTAACTAATTAGAGAATTGGAGTGTAGATATGAAAATTAATTTGAAGATAATTTTTATTATTAGGAAAATTAACATTATATGTTGGTAAATAGGTAGAATTCAATTTTCATAGTGGTAAAGAATTTGTAGCTCAAATGAAAACTTTGTATAAACATGTATTTGGCTAATTAATAGTGGAAGAGAACGATGTTTTCTGAGATATTATGATTATTAATTAAAGAAGATATATACCTTGCAAATCCCACGGCTCAATCTTGTTCAAATCAACCTCCTTGATGACTTCCATCTCGAACTTTTCATAAGAAATCTTCTTCTTCAAGTAGTAATGAAGAAGTTCTTCATCGGTTGGGTGAAATCGGAAACCAGGCGGTACACTTCCGTTCGATGAACTCATTTTTCGGTTTATTATGATCAATGTTTGTTTGAGTCCAAAGCTATATCACTTAGCTCTTAATTAATTACAATGATTTTCCTTTTTCTTCAAGCAGTCTTCTTATTCTTGGTTTATATATATAGAGACTAGCTATCTAGAGAGAGATATTACACACACGAATATAATTGTCAACTGTATTATCGAAATTAGTTAATTAATTGTTAATAGTATGAAGATGGTGAAGTTGACGGCCGGTGACAACGCCGCCGGAGTAGCTATTAAGAGCTATCGTGAAAAGTAAGACTCGCCGTTCAAAAGCATTTAAAGCCGTATCTACACTCTTGCGTGCATGTTGACCTTGATTACTACTTGTATATTATTCATATAGTATGAACGAACAATCCCGATA